ATCCATCCATCCATCCATCCATCCATCCATTTCTCCATCCATCCACCCATCCATCCAACATTTCACATTTCAACACATTTTAATCTTTCATTCAATACACTCAACACTGCATTCAAAGATCATAGCTTATTTCCATTAATCAATTACTGTCTTATTTTTTTTTAGAAGATCTGATAGAATTGGATATAAAATATCTTTTCAACTGAGACTAAATGCCACAGCTTATAATTCAAAACAAAGCATCTTGGGGAACCAAAATATCCAAGGCCTGTTGTCATGGTAACCTGTGGTAGGACTTGGCGACGCAGGAACAAGCAAAAGCAGCTCAACCGCCCTCATATTCTACTGGATCAAGAATACATTCAGTTGTTAAAATGGGCCAAAAAAAATGGTGTGAACTTCYGAAGTGTTCGACCAGCTGTATTTCATGACACTGGTAGAGGAATGATTGCCACAAGAAAGATCAATAATGGTGAATCGATTATCAGTGTTCCACGACAGCTGCTCATAATGACATCTACAGCTTTAAAAAGCAATGTTGGAAGACTTTTGGGACAAATGTCTAAGTGGGCAAATATCAAGCTTTCTCGTAAATGCATTCTGTGTTTATATGTTGCTCACTTAAAGCATCTTGGGGAAAAATCATTTTGGTATCCTTATATTGCAACATTACCTAAAGAATTCAATACCCCATGTTATTTTAGCGAGAACGAGCTGCAGACACTTCCAAAATCAAGCTATGAACGATGCTTAGCTCAAATCAATGAAGTACAGCAAGCTTTCAATGCAATAAAACAGACTTATAATGACAGATTTCCAAATAACCATGATTTTGATTTCTTAAAGTTTCTTACATTTGAGGACTTTAAGTGGACCTGGTTTGTTGTAAACACAAGGTCAGTGTACCTAGCCAGTGATGAGGAAAAATGCTCATGTTGCTATGGTGACTGTTGTCATGGGGATGGATATGCATTAGCACCAGTATTGGACCTACTCAACCATCAAGATACTGCTGAGGTGAGTAAATGAATGACTTGTACTAACATGTCATGTGGCACTTCCATGAGATTCGTGGAAGCACAAAATTTTCCAGTCAGTTAAAAAGTGGTAAAAAGTCATAGAAAAGCCTTGCATATATTAGTCATCCTTTGTTATACACAGCCTACAACACCATGATATCCCTAGAAAATAATAAAAGCTAGTTTATCCTGGGATATAATCAAAGTCACACCCCACATCATCATCACACACACTAACGAAAGGCCCAACGAACAATGCGAGTTTTACACTTTCATCTAATTGTTGTCGTTCTTTTTAGATATCTGCTGGATTCAACCAAGAATCACAAGCTTACGCGATTCGCACGGTAACTGAATATCAAAGATATAATCAAGTCTTCATCAACTATGGTCCTCATGACAACACAACACTCCTTATCGAATATGGTTTTATTCTTCCAAAAAATATCCATAATACTTTCAAGTTTAAACCTGAACAAATCTTCCGTATTTTAAACCTTCAGTCCTCACCCAGCTTAACTAAAAAGATGAATCTCATCGAAAGAAATAATTTCAAACAAGATTTTAGTTGTAGAGAAGATGATGGTGTTTCATGGAGTCTTTTAGCAGCCTTAAGGATGTTAGCACTTGAGGAAGACATGCTGACTCAGTGGAATAAAGTACTTGATGGAAAACCAGTTTCTATCAGTAGTGAAATTCTTGTACAGAAATGGATAGCACAGATACTGTCTCACTCACTTGGGGAATTAGAGACTGATTACTTTGAACAGCACAGTCTGGCAGGTCAGAGTACCAACACACAGCTTGCAGTGCAACTCAGGCAACAGGAAATACTAATTTTATCAGCAGTATTATGCAGAGTAGATATTCCTGGTACTTGTGGCTGAAAATGTTTCCATTATAAAGAGTAATGTTCCCAGCAGATTTAGGCAGTAGATTATAGCCAAGGTTAGCAGCAATTAGATTCTGGTATTTGTCAGTAATGTCAGTTATAAGAAATAAGAAAGCAAGAGGTGCATAGTTTGATCCTCAGTGACCTCACACACTTGTTTTAAGGAGCAAGTATGGCTTGGTTGGTAAGCGTGCTGCCTGCTAAGCAAGAGGTCCATAGTTTGATCCTCAGTGACCTCACACACTTGTTTTAAGGAACAAGTGTGGCTTGGTTGGTTAGTGTGCTGCCTCCTAAGCAAGGGATCCATTGTTTGATCCTCAGTGATATTGAACACACATTTTCACTCATCTCTAATCCATGTATGGTAAATATTTCTTTCACTGCCATTCAAACAACATTGATGGAGAGAGGGGAATGTACACTGTCATCTTTCTTGGTAGAGACTTCACAGTTTTAAATTTATTGACAAATCATGGCTCAGAGCCAATCTCTAGCCCAGAGTCTTCTGGCTTTTTGATCAGCAGGCTGACGGCAAAGCAGGAAAGTGCTTGTGGACTCAGGGTATGAGATTGGCTCAGTGCTGGAACAAATGAAACCCAGGAGCTCTTGGTACAAGAATGGGCTGTAGCCACCATTTGGACAGTGGTCTGGTTTTAATGAAAGTGGTCTGGTAAAAAAAAAACAATTTTTCCAAGCTCCCCAATTTTGCAAGGGGAAAATGGTTCTGACAGAAAAACATTTTGTGCTTTTAAAACTGAATGAACCATACTGGTGGCTACACCACTACGAGGGAATATTAAAAACATTGTGTAAAAATATATATACTTAGTAGTGTATTGATCCATAAATATTTCTTTACAGTAATTCTTTTGATACAATGAACACATCAAATGAGTTCCTGGTACTTAAGGGTTCTTTTATCTCTTTCAAGAATCAAAGTTTTGTCATGAATTTTGATCTTGGTGTGATGGTTTTGAGCATGAAAGTCATGTTGGTACGAAGGGTATAAGCTTGTTAGCACAGCAGAATTTTTACTCTCTTCTACCAGTTGTGTGGCGACAAGGACTTCTTGGGCAGACATGATTTTTGTATAATCTGAAAAATATTAGAAATTTGGTTATGATAAGATATTGTAAGATTACATCCAAGAAGTGTAATCTGGAATCCAGGAAATGGAATCTGGAATGCAAGATGTGTAATCTGGCCTTCCTGATTTGGAATCTGGAATGCAAGATGTGCAATCTGGAATGCTAGATGTGCAATCTGGAATATAAGATGTACAATCTGGAATATAAGGTGTACAACCTGGAATATAAGATGTGCAATCTGGAATCCAAGATGTATAATTTGGAATACAAGATGTGCAATCTGGAATACAAGATGTGCAATCTGGAATATAAGATGTGCAATCTGGAATATAAGATGTACAATCTGGAATATAAAATGTGCAATCTGGAATATAAGATGTACAATCTGGAATACAAAGTGTACAATCTGGAATACAAAGTGTACAATCTGGAATATAAGATGTATAATCTGGAATACA